CTCGATCGCTGGCCATAATTCAGCTGGATGGTATCTTAGCAACAGCAGTGTGCGAAGAGCAGATGGCTCAAGATATTGTGGAATCGAGAACAGGCATTGTGGTTATGAGGCGGAATGAGTTAAGCAAAAATTCTGTGGGTTTGCTGGCTTATTAATCACGTCTTCTCCTTCGTCCGTTTGGCTTAAATTGGGACATAAGTTGCCTAAGTATTCACATGGCTGTCAACAGCATACCGACACCTCCGTCTCTGCCGGTGCTACTGAAATACCCAAGTGGAAAGAAGAAAGCGTCTCCAAAAACAAAGTCTGATTAGTCATTACGTTTTTTCTAAAATTATTTAAAGTTGACGGGTTGACCATAAGACTATACTTTATTTTTCCCAGACTTAACGCGACTGCGGGCCTCAGTAATGCACCGAAGCTCCGAAGCAGTACGTGAAATGCAGACCCGAAAGAATCGGAGAAGATTTCGACCAGGTAGAGATCGCACTACCTCAATGTGTGATCCACACCAGGAATACTGCTGACCAATAATCGTTACTTTCCTCAACTCCAAAGGATTGTCCTACTCTGTGGAAAGATTGTTATTTTTAGATATAGTTAAACATCAGAAACATCCTTGGAGTTTGAAAACAATATTGGTGTCTTTTGTTGTGGTATGCACTTTGCAGGATGTACTGGTGTTAGTGAATCTTATTCAGTTTTCAGCACGATTTACTAAAAAAGTGACTTTGTTAAAGATAAATGAGGGTCCTAACTAATCCGGAAATAAGACATGATGAACTGACGGATTATTAGACGAGCAAGGAATGAAGAGCCGACACAATCAAACAGCTTTTTGTAAAGCACAAGAACAAGCCAAGTGACCGTGAAATTTGCCGGAACTTGGCATTGCATAAACTCTCACACGTTGTCTTGCATCTCGAATCCAATAATCGGATCACCATCCTGGGTTATTTAAACATCAGCGGAATGGACAAAGTACAGTGGTTTGCTAGAGGTCTGTGGTGCTTCACACCCGACTAAATGCTAGCTGCATTCCTTATAGTCAGTCATTTTGGCGCGCGGATGAACTTGGTTTGATTCTTCTTCAGTAAGACGACCACAAAAGGGATATTTTTTTTGTCAGCGATAACGTCACTCTAAGCCATACCAACAGTCTTCACTTGATGCAGGTCAAACTATTTCTGAGTAACAAAATATGTGCTTCTGAATAGCTGAAACGGTAGCTGGAGTTCACCGTATGAGAATTAGCGTGTATGGATTACCGGAGAAAAAGACCACCGGGCGAGACCAAAGAAGGTCGGCTGCACTATACTTCACTGGGGATATTTTGGTTTCTCAACTGATGAGTCATTCACAACGATCAAACAGCGCCGTGCAAGGAATAGGCCAAACAGTCATTAGTATAGTAATGGCATCGCCCTCCAATTTAAATTCACACTCGCATCGTTTTAACTGATAAACATACCCCTAGCCGATGAAGTGTATTTCACGGAAAAAAACTTATGCGACCGCAACTGGTTTTTGACGTTGCTTACCCCTGTTAAGAGACAAATCTTATGAGAAAACAAGTAGTACAAAGGTTAATGGAATATTCCTTGAGTGACCCTGAACAGACAGCTTGTGGTGTCACAGGTGAAACATTTGGCGTTTGCAAATAGGCGGTTGCGTGTAAAAGGGAGGCCTTGGAATCCATGACCGAGATGGAACGAATTTAGCTTATCGACGAGTTCAGAACTATATTTTCTCGTTTAGCTGATGGACTGAAAATCTGAATTTCAGAGGCATTTCGGTTTACAAGTTGGATGAGTTTTTGGGTATAAAAATCACAACAGATCCGAACAGTCCTTTAATTAATTAGTTTGCTAATCAGTCAATCACTTAGTTAACTGAAATTTATTTATCCCTTTCTTGCTCGGCTCGGTTGGCTAGCTAGCTAGCTAGCTTTTGGCTAGTAATTTTCAGCGGAAGCACTTTCCATACTTCATCATCGAACGGACTTCTCGAATGTTGATGCAAATAGTTCATCGTATGGTACCATTTGTTAAGCAACGTGCTTAGCAGTTTGCATTTGCTTATAATCTGATCACGTGATCTGGGCTAAATCGATATGCTATATTGACAGTTACTACAGAGTAAACTGGGGTACGATGATAACTTGTTTTGCTCACTTCCAGTTCGACTAGATTAGTTCGGTCAGACATCCAGAAGTGCTACACCCAAGATGCCATCTAAAGGCAAAAACATTTGCCATCAACTCATGATTTATTAAGCGATTGTCAACTCGATAAATCAGTTATGGAGGCTTTCATAGTCTGCCTGCTCTATAGTCAGCTGTAGGGGTACTGTTTTTAGCTCTCCGCAATTCAAAGGGTGCCCATCCTTAAGGCTAGCGCAGCTGGGAAATAGAGTTGTGGTGCCTTTTTCTGCATCGATTGAGTTGATATCAGACAACATGAGTAATGCGGGGGAATTAGAAGTCTTTCGACAACAACGTAAGGAGCAGGCAACAGAAAAACCCAACAGCTCTGACCGGATATTTCGTCGAAGGCATTTAACGATTCCTTTGTCTGACACCCATTTAGGTATAACGGCTGTTTTTTCTAGCCGAACTTGGCAAGTTAGTTGCGAAAATTCGGTCACTAGCCTAGAAAACAACGCGATTGCGTAGTTGGTTGGACACTTTCACTTTTGCCCGCCTTTGCCCATTCAACTTATGTTAAAGAGTCTCTAATATCTCTTTTGTGATTGGTTGGTTGTGGATGGCTCTCATTGATCTGAGTTATGTTATGGCCCATTTTCTTGCTCTTGGTTGGTTCGTCGAATACATTTATTTTGGGGTTCTGATCGGTTCTAATTTTTTCGTTCCCTTGTTACGTCATGGCATGGTTTTCTTCCATTTGATTGGTTGGATGACCAGGCGTCCATTTGTAATGGTTTACTTTCACTGACTTGATTAGTCCATTCGATATCTTGCCATTGTTTGGTTTCCGTCGCATATCACAGTCCATCTACTAGGTGATCATTTTGTTCCTGATAAACCGAGTCCATATCGGTGTTGTTGTCAATCTATTTTTTCCAGGGATGCCTCTTTTCCACCTTTCTGTTATTCTTGCTTGGGAAAGTGGCTGACCGTCTCCTAACTTATTGACGTCATTCATCCCCTTCGTATAGCCTCTTGCCACCGACCTTGTGTTCTTGTATTTTAACGGCCGTTATCTTGCGGTCTAACCAACGAATTTCGGTTTTTGGAGAACATCTGTTTACTTCATTGCATCCAATCACTCCTCGGTTTTCAGAATGGCTTTTTATTGTTTGCAGGTGTGGACGTTAGTGTCATTTAAATTGGTTTTGAATATGAATAATTCATTTCAGGGATGGTTGTTTTATGTGGAAGCAGAATCTTTAATTTTTCTCGTTGTTTTGATAAGGTTCGATTCTGTGAGCATATCTAGATGAAGCTCCTTGGGAATACCCGATAAAGTTTTCTCGCGTCGTTCGTCCTCAGCAGTGTTTTGTTGTAATGTGTCTCCATTCGTCTCGATTTGTGACAGCTGAGGTAGTTGCCAAATTAAATCACAGTCTGGTCCATGGGAATCTCCTCTTACTATACTTCACTCTTTAATGTACCGCTTGATGCTCCCAACTACATCCAGGAACGCCAATGTGTTGTTTCCTTCATTCTTGTTGTGGAATAACTATGGGGAGTGGGTTGTCCAGCAATGGGTCTGTTCGGTGTAGTTTACTCTTCTCTATGTAATAGCGAACATTCAACCCAGTTAACGTACCCGTATTTTCAGGATGATGGCACAATATGTTTCAGCTTCTTCCTCACAAATTCCACGATTCCGTTGGCGTGCTTATGCGTCACCATTTTATTCCCAAGTGGACTGGTTGATAAGTGGCGATCCAAAGCGTCCTCTCAAAGCGTTTCGTTTGTGCCTATTTGACGGCTTACAAGTTCATTTAACTAAAGGCGAGTAAATGACTAGGAGACACCCACACAAGCGAGCACTGACGAGGTCCCCTCGCTTCGTGACGGAACGTTTGCAGTCCAAGTACTGAGCCAGAGAACAAACCAAGAACCAGGTGATACTGTCAGTTTGAGTGTACGACTTCTCCTGCCTACTATAGTCCTAGGATAGATTGTTGTTTGCGTTCAAGTCATCTGAGAAGCTCCCCTCGTATTCCGTCAGAAATACCGTATAGTAGGTTTTTTAACACTCACAAGGCCTGCCTGGATTCCGACATTTATCTCATTTCATAAGGGTCTGCCATCGATATCTTCATTGAGGACGATTTTCGCTATGGTTTTAAAAACACCAGTTTCTCCGGTTAAGCACTCACAATGACCATTGGAGGATAGAGTAAGTCCACTTCTTTATGATTATTTCACCATAAAATGCTCAAGTTAATTAGGAAAGGAAAACGTGAGCCAAAAATTCTTTTGTAGAATTCAGTGTATGCGGAGTCGTTCTACAATGCGTCAATTATAGGGTAATTCACAGCTGGAGCCACTTGTGTCTTCCGGGGCCACCGCCTTTGAAACCTGAGCCCTGAGAAGTGACTGAATGGATTCAAAGCTTCAACTCGACATGTCGGTAACTAGTTTTTGTTTTGAGAATGTGTTGTTTTAAAACATCATTTTGCAAGCAGCCAGAAATTCCACTATTAGCATGTTAACTAGCTTCCTTACTGACATTTTTCCAGCGACAACCCCCTTCACTTGAGCCAGAGTTATTTTGCGCCCCGTTAGAAGTGGTCTCTTTGTTCTCTTAGGCACATGCATTGCAGTTATTGCACAAATTTGCACGCACAGTCACAGCCAGAATAGTAAAAACAATGTTTTTTGCTGTACGGCAATTTCAGCCTGTTATGCTGTTATTCACTTTTGGTACTAATATTGTTGTTGCAGTGATATTTGTTATCAATTTCTGTTTGCTAAGAACCATCTGTTTCTAACAGCCTCACATCAAGAAAACATCTTGTGAACCTACCTCAGGATTCTCCCAATCATACTTCGTTCCATAGTAATGCTCCCTGTCCATTCCTAGAGAGGTGTCAGTGAACATTTCGTCAGAGCTTGTTCCCGACATGCTAGTCACCGCCCCGGAATCCGTTCCCTGGTCATCCTGTCGATCTGCAATCGCCGTTGCTTTGGCCAATTGTTGTTCGTTCAAGCGAAGGGCTATAGAAAGACTCAGTGTTACTTCTTCATGATCCTCTGATGGTTTAGTTGCCTCAAATCTGCTGACTGCGACGCGGGTATCATCGGGCAAAACAAATTCACTCGCGTATTGACGAACTATGCGTTTACCTAGAATGGAAACGGACGAAATCGTGTCTGCGGTAACTTCTTGAAAGACAAGTTCATCCAGAGCCTTCAAATCGGTTGGCTGTTTTTTCGCACTCAGCTTTAGATCTTCTGTCTCTTTTCTATTCTCCATGGCAGTCGATACCATTAGGGCGTGAGGCTGGTTGCAATTTTGGTTGACTACAACCGATTGCATCGAAAATGTCAGAGGTTGTGGTTTACTCCCCGTTGTCTGATGAAACTTGACGTCCAAGTCAAAGAATTAAGACAGTCACTGTACATCCATACACAGAGGGCTGCATGAGTAAAAAACGGATTACTTCGAAGAAGGAACCGACCAACCAAGTGGTGTGCGCTTCATGTGTTATCTATCGATAATACACAGCTAGCCAATCGTATCGCAGATGAAGCTCCGTTCGCTGATTGGCCCTGAGGTGATCAACCCAGTTGACCAGAAATACCACCGTCACTTGTGCGCGATCCAGGTAATGTGACAAATAGGGGACTGTAGTAAAATTTGAGTTAGTGCATTAATGGGACAAAAATGATCACTGAACTTGACAAACAAGTGGTGAATTAGTTTCTGTCCTGATTTGAGGGCAATCGATCGAGAGAAAGGAGTAAAAGTAACTTGTTTAGTTCCATGAAGCGTAAGCAGGGCTGGATGTGTGAATACAAGTCAAGGATTGTACACTCACCCGTAAAAAAATCAAAGTGCGGTTTGGATTCCGGAACTGCCGATTTTGATCAAACGGGTTTGGTAAAACCGAGTCCGTTTGCTGTCGCCGGTGAGAACAATTTATTGGGGACGCAGTCGGTGAAGATATTAAATTACCCCGTACGAATTCTGTGATTAATCCAGTGGTTTCGAAATTTCGCAGACAGACAAACAGAGAAAACCCACATCATAATCAGCGCTCACCTTCTAGCAGCAAATGAACTTCAAAAGATTTTCCAAGGACTATAGCAGAATAGACACCAGGAAAGTTATTTGGTTTCTAACATCCAGCTGACAAAATTAGAATAACCTCTATGTAGTTGCCATATCCATCCAGCCTAAATTTAATCTGAAAATACTTTTAACAAAACATTTTACATCCACTTCTTTGTCTGAAAGAAACGTTGACGCATCATTTGTCAGTTTCCTGAAAAGAAGAACTATTACCTCAGCCACCGATCATTATTTCGTTGGTGCGGGAAACGGAGTGATTTCTACGAAGAACGCGTTCTTGCCCGTCGAGTTCCTGTTCAATTTTACAAGATTCCAAAACGATTGCGGTTCACAGGCAACCATATCAATCTATCAGCTCTTATCTTTTGGTTCCTCAAGAAGGATACGCTGAGCATTTTGGAAGTCAAAAACATTTTTGTGATACTCTCTTTGAGATTATGCTAATTTGGCGGATTAAATTTGAAAACTTTTGCAGAGGCACTGAAAGGACAGATGGACTGAAAACGCTACGGTCTTTGAATAATTCCATCAAACTCTCGGCCTAGATGTTCCAATTTCCAAGTAATGTTTGGAAACATTGAAAACCTCATTCAAACCGAATTTACACGCCCATAGTTAAAAGTACTGTCACTTGAAATTGATTTCATGCCTTCGTCAAAGGTCGGCAAAATAAAGAGCAGCCTGAGTGCATGTACGGCCAACTGAAAGGCCACTTGTACAAATCAACAAATGATGCTGATTCGTTCCACGCCAGTGTCCATCAGTATCAGTCACATCAGTATCTGTTTCCCTCAGTACAACAAGGCTGTTTAAAACTTAAGCGTTGCGAAGCCATCAAAGAACTGACAGGAGTAAAACTTCTACCGTTTTTTTCAGCCAAACAGACTGTCCAAACCAGTTATTATGAGGAAAGATGAGTACTTGTGCAAAATGAATAGTAGTCTCCCGGATACTCGAAATTTCAAAAACAAAAATAATCTGGAGAACAACCAACTTTTAAGCAAACGGATCACCAGGCACCTTTCAAATTCCAAGGTTCATGATTACACTACAGAGACAGAATACCAATACCTATAACCCATGCGCTGCGCTCCCAAAATACACAAGGACGGTGTCCTTCTAGGACCAATCATGTGTATTAGCAATTCAACCTTCAAAAATTGGCATGTTGGTTGAAACATCTGGAGTCGGTAGCAAAAGCTTATCTCACCACTGTTTGGAGGATTTCCCTGAACCAGCAGACAATCTGGATAACACCGTGGTGATTTTTTCCAGAGGTAATTTTTCATTGACCTTGTTAGTCATCCACCAATGTACCTATCCACCAGATAGTTGAATTTTGTGATTCTATCTCCCGAAATACTATGAGTCTAGGGCTCTTTGCTGACCACTTGAAAGATCTAACTTGACTCTACATAAGCAATATTAGATTCAAATTTGCGGGACTAACATCTAATAAGTCGGTGCTGTTTTATGATTGAACAAGACTTTTAATGAAATTTCAAAATTATTGTTATGTAAGCGAGTTGTTTATGATGCTTCATTTAATGTTTTTATAGAGCTCTCTGGTATCTCTTAGACATTCTTTATTCCACTCCCCTTGAATTCCATGCTACACCAGACCGTGGACCGAAGGAGAGCCTATGGACATTCTTTATTCCACTCGCCACCAGACCGTGGACCGAAGGAGAGCCTATTTTTCCCAGAAACAATAAACTGTTCTTGAAACGTTCCATGTTCTGAAAAAATACGTGCAACTGTCATTATTTACAGTCCTCTAGGAACCCCCCGATAGATCAGGTCAGTGTACGGTTTATTTTACAAACCAAGGAGATTATGCAGAGAAGTAATTGTTGAAGAAAGCTCCAGTGCAGAATGGTTAACCGGAGGGCCGTAGAGCCCTCCGGTAGAGCCGGACAACAAACAACCCCGGCCCAATCAGCTAACATCGAAGGCACATACTTGTTCATCAGGGGATCACGTTGACACCGACATAAGGCATGAGGTCACTTTCATTGAAACGTTTGCATAGAGCAGCCGAGTTGCTCCGCATATCAACCACCAGAGGATTTTGCTCTCTAATCTATCTAATCTACTTACCGTCACAAAGAAACTGAATCTTACAATGATGTGACTATTTGTTTTTAATGACAAATGGGCCATACTGGGGGCATACTGAGCCGTGCGTGCAACACTCACAGAGTCTGTCATACCAGGGTGGTCAGTGGTGGTAAGTCTAACCAGCACAGTCTTTTGGATCCCTAGTTTGGGGTCAGAATATGCGTGGCGAGTTGTTCTATAAAACTGTTATTGCCCCCTTCCACCCTACCCGACGCAAATTTGAATACTCTCTCTGCAGGTTCAAGTAGTATGACTTACTGCTTCGTTCGTCTTGCATCACTCTCAGATGCAGCTTGTGTACGTAGCATCCATAAACATTTCGAGACTTGTTTTCGAACCCCGAGAGCCGGTGCACTCAGCTGCTTTTAGTGTTCACACATTAGGAAAACAGGTGGCTGTTGCTCGTACGCTAGATTTTCTCCACACCGATGCATGCTGTCTGTCAGAAACAAGGATAGGGGACACAAGTAATGTAATAGAAGTGACTGCCCCCTCTCTCTTCCAGGATCCAGCTGCACAGCTCTGGTGATGCAGGGGTTGCTGCAGCGGTTGCTGCAGCGGAATTTACAGGCGTGTGTATTGGCAAATTTTGTGAAAGAATCTAAAGAAAGTGAGATTCATTGCATCCTGTTCATTTTGTCTGCTTACGCTCCAACCGACTGTAACTTTGAATTTATCTAAGACAGTTGATACAATACTCTAGGTACTCTCTTACAACGGGCTACAAGCTTAGACACCGTTGCGGGTGGTGGTGATATGAATGGTCAGGTAAATAATCTGAGGTCCGTTTTGATGGTTACCTTTGATTGGACACCAGACGCATGGACAACGTAGATAGCCTTCTTCAGAGGTATGACAGGTTACAGACTTTCCATTTTCAGTACCTGGCCACAACCAAAAATCCAACCGACAGATCATCCGACGCGGGGTAAAACTGAGTGTATGTGCAGGCTGAAAGCTTGATGAGAAAGGTCAAAAATGTAAAAGATTTTGGAGACCTCCTTAAGCTGCTCTACTTGACTCTTTCGACTGGTCCTCGGAAGCTTCTTGTCAGCGAACTTATCAGGGACCGAAATGGCTCCATGGTATCCAACAAAGCAGAACCTTTAGACAAGTGAGCAGAGTACTTTGAACAATGAGTCATTTGGCCACCCACTACTACCGATCGGAAATCCTGGCCTTCAACAGAAATGTAGAATGTGAATATGGAACCAAATTCCAACTTAGAATATTCCGAATGTGTATCGAATAGATCAAGCACAATGTTGCTGCTGGTCATGACAAAGTTTCACCTGTTCTGTTGAAGGATGGGGGTGGGATTCTCAGCCAATACCTGTCTAGCCTGTTTGAACCATCACACACAGCCGACGTAACCACAAAGGTGTTAGTTTCATTCTGTTTGTACCAAGTCTTCTGGCGTCACTGATTTTTCGGCCTCTCATGCTCGCAAATCCTTGACCCTTGAGCATCAAGCAGGATTTCGACCGGGCAGGGGCTGCGTCCACCGCATTGTCACATTCTGTCAGATGTTAGATCAACGTCATATCCGCAGACTACCAAAAATTTTGGTATTCCTTGACTTCAAAGGTGCGTTTGATCCTGTCGATTGGTCAGTGCTTTTAACCACAATTGCTCGATGGGATGTGCTCTAGAGGTTAGTGAGTATAATCCGGTCCTCATGTTCACGTTGTTCTGAGCGTGTGGCAGTGCATGAGGAGCCCTCTAAAAGCTTCCTTAAAAAAGTAATGCCAGACAAGGATGTCCCCCCATCCGTTTTTGTTTAACTTCGTCACAGACTAAATAATGTGAAGTGTGTGTGTGAAGTTTTCAAAACCCTGGTGTTACTGATGAAACCCTTGACGATCTGGGATGCGAAGGCAACATCGCCCTCATCTCTGAAGATGAAGACACAGCTACGTTGAGTATACTAACCATCATAATACCATCTTTTTGCACGCACCTAGCGCCTTCAAAGTTCAAAGTTATGCTTCGCAATGTGCAATCTCAGGACATACCCCTTATGATTCAAGGAGAATTACCGGAGGTTGTAGTGGAGTTTACAGAACTCGGTAGTTGCATTAGCTCTGACGGAATTGTACCTGAGGAACTCATTGCATGAATCCCAAAGGGCCGCATCGCGTTTGCCAAATTGCATCACTTGTGGCATCAAAAGGCAAATCACTGGGTCTCTAGGATCACGCATATCAGGCCACTTTAAGTGCTGTGTTTTTGTGTGGTTGCGAGACATGGCCTTTTCGAACAG